AGAAGAGATGAGTGATCTGGGATCAGATTTTGGATGTCAGCCAGCCGTGATGAAGTGGGTCCCACTTCATCACGGCTGGCTGACATCCAAAATCTGATCCCAGATCACTCATCTCTTCTGGGACCCAGAGCTGTCTTTGCGGTCAGTAGAACGTGGTGCTGCTTGATCCCTGAGGTCAGTAGAGTTAGTTGAGAGGCCTGATTCAGGTTGACAGGGATTGTCCTCATCGGCAGTCGAATGGAAAATGAGGTCCCATGTTCTGACGCTCTGTTAAGAACTGAATCAGTGGCTCAGTTTTGCATATTATACTTCTCATCTGCTGTTTATTTCTGATTAAGGCTTTATTTAGTTCACTTAACCCTGAGTTAACATCTTCTAAAACTCTGGTGTAAAGCCGCTTTTAACCAAGGTTTTCAGTCATTTTAAAAGCAGCGAGTTACAGAAAGATGTATAGCGAGAGACTACTGAATACCTTATCAAATATTAATGAGGAAATGGCAATGGTTTCAAAAACAGTTCACTTTTTTTTATATAAAAAAGTTATATATAATAGATCAAAAGTTTTTGTAACTCTTGTATTGCTACAAAAACAGTCTATTTGTTTTAAGCTTGCTATACATCAGATAATCTTAAAAAAGTATAGTGTTTCCACAAAAATATGAAGTGGAACTGTTTTCAACAGTGATAAATATAAGAAATGTTTCTTGAGCAGTAAATCAGCATATTAAAATAATTTCTGAAGGATCATGTGACACTGAAGACTGGAGTAATGATGCTGGAAATTCCATCACAGGAATAAATTACATTTCAAAATATTTTCAAATAGAAAAGAGTTATTTTAAATTATATTAATATTTCAAAATAACATTTACATTTTTATAACATTTTACATTTCAAAAATTCTAAACTTTAGTTTATATATTCCATTTTTTATATTATTTTATGTATGTATAACAAATATTATTATTTTAGTTTTTAAATGTGATTTAAAAAAAGATTGTGATCTAGATTTGTTCCACTCGTCATGTGGTTATGTTGTTTTTCGCTCTGTAGTCTCATGGAGAGATGCCAGCGGCAGCAGTGAAAACAAAGAACAAACTCTGTTCAATAGCTTCATTGGCTGTTTCTCAATCCCATCATGCCCAGGGCCATATGGTTGGACCTGCATGACATTTAGCATGTACTGATTTATTTTAAGAGCATATTTCCAATTTAAAGCTCCTTTTGGAGCTTTAACATCAAGTACTGACAACACAAGACTGACCATAAAATTTTGTGACGTGAATTGTTGTTTCAATTGTTGTTGTCTTTAAAAAAAAAAAAAAATAAATAACACTTGCTTCTCTAATATTTTTGTATTCTATCTATTTGTTTTCTTTTTATTTATTATACAATTAACAAAAGCAAAAAAGGCCTCTAACAGTAGCTTGCTCTATTTTTTTCCTATTCTATCTGTTTTCTTTTTATTTATTATATGATTAAAATAAAAAACTTGCTCCGTGTACTGCGTTAAGCTAACTGAGACTTGTTATAGCACTTGCATATCATTGCTCTCTTGTTGATTTTGATTGCTTCCATTGTTCTCATTTGTAAGTCGCTTTGGATAAAAGCGTCTGCTAAATATGCAAATGTAAATTAATTGTATCTGAAAGTTTTCCTTTGAAACCCAGGCGTGTTGGTTTAGGCTTGCAGTATTATTATTTTGTATGTATAATCCCTGCAGAATAGAAAACAGTCAGTAATGTGTTTAATCTGTTCTGCGTGTGGTGTTGTAGGTGATAAGGAGCAGGCGGTGCAGTGGTACAGGAAAGGCATCGCTGAGCTGGAGAAAGGCATCTGTATCCAGGTCACTGGAGCTGGTGAGATGATTCAGTCATATTGATTTCCGTTAGTGTGTAAACAAACTATGTGATGATGTGTTTTGATTACACTAGCTTTTATTTTTAATTTCAAGACCGAACGCAGCCTGTATTATGCTTCAATACATTTAAAACAATTTCATGGTTTACACTTTTTGAACAGTGATTGCAAGAAGATCGCAGCATTTATTGTAAAAAATCTCTAGTGGTCCTGATGTGTTGTGTGAGCCCGGTTTGACCCTATTTTCTTTCTTAATGTTTATTCCGGACTTAAAGTACACTTAAAGCTCAATCAATTCCCAAGTTCCACCCTGCAGTTTATTTTCTTCTGAAGACGTTTGAGAGAAAGTCTTCATCTGGTTCTTTTAGGGGAGAAGGCAGACAGAGCCAGAAAGCTTCAGGACAAAATGACCAACAACCTCACCATGGCCCAAGACCGGCTGGAGCTTCTGGGTAAGCGGATGCAGTGAGGGCACGAGGATGTGCTGCTGATTCATGAGCTCTTCTGAGAGATGAGAGCATTTGTTGTGTTTGCACGCTCTCCGGAGAGGGATGTTCGCCGCACTCTTCTGTGAAAGCCTGCCTGTGCTTCTGTGTGATTGTTAAATGATTCAAGTCAGTTTTATGCTTGATCATATAAAGGTGAAGTGTTGTTTCATGTTGGAAACAAATGTGTTGAAATTAGGGCTTACTTATAGTTGCCTCTACACATTGAAATGGAAGGTGATTAAGCATTTTAAAAAGACACTTCCCTTTTATTGACTCAACCATTGTTACACACAAACACACATTGCATTTATGGTTTACGGGGACTCGCCATAGTCGTAATGGTTTTTATACTGTACAAACTGTATTTTCTATCGCCCTACACCCAACCCTACACCTAAACCTACCCTTTACAGGAAACTACTGGCAATTTTTGAATTTCATAAACACCGTTTTGTATGTTTTTTTAAGCCTTTTGTTTTACGGGGACACAGGAAGTGTCCTCATAAACCATGTTTACGTTGTAGTATCCATGTCATTATACACATTTGTGTCCTCATAAACCATATATACCAGAACACACACACACGCGCTTTTCTTATTTCTCTCACAACATATATCACTTTCTTTGTGTTTCTGCTTTGGTTCTTGCATGAATCTGTCAAGAAAGCAATCAAGAACATGTCCAGGTCACCCCAAAATCAAAAGAAAAAAATATTTAAAGCTAATGCAAAGAAAATAATGACTGTTTATTTTATTTAGTTTTATTTGATTAGATTTTTTGCGAACTTTGTGACATTTTCATGACATTTTACTGTCATTTAATTTAAGGCCAAACAATTATGTAAACAATACTGTTTTTGCAGTAATGATGATAATAATAATAATAAATACAAATTATAAAGAATAAAATAATAAAATTATAGACTTCAGTTTACTTAAAGGGGTCATATGATGTTGCTAAAAAGCGACGAGACAAAAACATTAAAACCCATTACAAACGAGGCATTTGTTGCATCCAGTGGGGACATAATTACGGATTATAATGATTTATACTGTCTTTTTTAGAAGAATCAGAATGAGTTTTATGTGTTGCGTTGCATCACGCCTCGTAAACATAAAACTGTCTGCATTTGTGATCGGAGAAATGACAAACAACAAGCGCTACTCTACACTGCTCAAAACTCACTTTTGAATCGTCAGTGGCAAATTCTTTAAATATAAAAATGTACTTACAGTCTGTGAGTCAGAACAGCCGGCATTGTAGTCTACTCTCCCAGGATCAGGAAACAGTCCTCCGTAAAATGTGCTGCACACATCTGAATATTTGGGTTGAAGTGTTCTGGAACAGTGTTGTAAATACAACTTAACCACTGATTTCTAGTCGTGTCCTCTTTTGGAAGACCAAACAAAGTAGTTTAGCTTTCACAACGAAACACACAGCATCTCCAAAACATGGCGGCAGCGGCAACAACAATACTACAGCGAGAATAAAAGTGACGCCTTCTTTCTTTGTGTGCACATTTGGTCGGCATTACGCTCATATTTCCACATAGTGACGTAGGTATGTGGGGGCGTGTTAGAAAGAGCCGTTTTAGGTAGGCGTGGTTGACTCTTAACTTTTATAAAGAATATCTCTTTGGATTTGAGACTTTAGTCTTTGCAACTTTACAAGGTTATGCACCAAGAGCTTGTAACACTCCAAAGAGAAAGAAAAAATTGAAATCGCATCATATGACCCCTTTAACTTATTTTCTTTTTTGTATGTTGAGGTGAAATGTAACTTGGACATGTTTTGCGCCCTCTTACAGCTTCTGTTCTGCTTTGTTTTTGTTTTTTTCTGGAGTTTTTAGTTTCCCCTTAAATGTCTCTCTTTCCTCTGTCTCTGTTTCCTTTTCTGCAATCACAAAGGCAAACTTCTTTCAAAGTCCCCAGCAGAGGGCTGCTCTGATCACACAGGCCTGTCTTTCTCCAATGGGAGCCTGCGTCCAGGTGGGTGTTTGCTTTGGATTCTGGGAGATCTGTGATCAGAGAGACTCTACAGTGATGTTTCTGTGTATGTATGAGCATATGTTTGTAGTTGCAGGCAGTGGAGCAGTTTCCAAAAAGAAGAACACTCTCACAATCACAAATCAGTCCCATGTGCGACCCAAAAACCCACCCAAATCTGCCCCTGCTGCTGCCCTGCGCTGCATACCTTCAACTGGTCACAGTGGCAGGACCGGCCCTCAGAGTAACCTGAAGGTTCGTCAGACATCAGACCGTCTGCATAGTGTAGCGTTTAGCCACGAGCCACCTTTAAATGCTGTCTCACTAGGTTTTGTGGCTGAACTTTGTTGTCGTGTTTTGTTTTGTAGGGGCCCCCGGCAAGAGCCGGTAACAGACATAACACCAGCAACACTGCCACTGCGTCACCTCAGAGGAAAAAAGACATGAAGAACTTTAAAAATGTGGACAGCAAACTGGCCAGCCTCATCCTCAATGAGATCGTAGACAGGTAACATTAGTGCTGTTAAAAATAAATGCATCAGATATAAATATTTTAATGCATCACTGTTTTTGTCAGAATTGTCAGAAATCTTTTGTATGTTAATTGTTTAGAAAAAGTATGCATGTAAATATTGATATGCATGTTTTTATTAAAATAATGCATATACATGATTTTATATATATATATATATATATATATATATATATATGAAACTGAGCTACATAGAAATGACCAAAAAGATTTTTGATATTCAATACAGTTACCAAAAAACACGTTTCCAAAAACAGGCCAGATCTGTGTTAACTTTTTCTGTTGACGCTATAAACTCTTTGACATATCACCACAAAAACATACAAAATATGGTCCAAAATGTTTTCTTGTCATTACATTCCTCAGTTTAAGTGGATTCTAACAATATCCCATTTGTCATTTTTCATAACTTTGCTTGTCCAGCATTTTGAAAAGCAGTTTTTTGCTACTCTGCAAAAATGACCAAAACAATTTTGATATTCTTTTTGATATATTTGATATGCTGAATATTATTGTTAATTATAAATGCAACTGTTCATATATGTTGCTAATCATATTACAGTTGATGGCGTTTTATAAAGGCAATAATAACCCGTGCATTACACTCGCTTTTATTCGGTCTTAAGAAACACTCATTCATGTTGTGGTGTGTGTGTGTTTAGGTGGGAGAGGGCGAGAAATTGGTTCGGGCTTTGTTTGCGGTTGCTAGGGAACTGCAGCCGTCAATCATCTTCATCGGTGAGAACTGTCACTCAGACTCATTCATGTTTCAGAAGTGGTGTGTTTCTGTAAATGCATCATTAATGGTGAATGTGGTGCAGATGAGATTGACAGTCTGCTGTGTGAGAGAAGAGAGGGCGAGCATGACGCCAGCAGAAGACTCAAAACAGAGTTCCTCATCGAGTTTGATGGAGTAAGTGTGTGAACTCTATCTGAAAATTCATCATTCCTGATCACAGGTGACTGACGCTCCTGGTGTGTGTGTGTGTGTGTGTGTGTGTTGCAGGTGCAGTCAGGAGGAGATGACCGAGTGTTAGTGATGGGAGCCACTAACAGGCCTCAGGAGCTTGATGAGGCAGTTCTTAGGTACCGTTGACCTGCAGTCGCACACTTACTTTCAAACACTTTGTAATTACATTCTCTAATGTGTTTTTTTCCTCATAGGAGATTCGCTAAACGCATTTATGTGGCTTTACCTACAGAGGAGGTACTGTGTTCACACCAGGGCTGGGCAGAAGTTATCGGGTCTCTTTTAAATCGTGATTGTGAATTTTTATTCAGTCAAGAAATATTTGTCATGGACATCATATTTGGCCATGGTTCATAACATGGGTGGTACTTTATTAAACACAAATATGTACACACATGCACTACCATTCAAAAGTTTAGGATCGGTATGTTACTGAAAAGTCTTAAACTCACATGTTTGCTCAAAAATTACAGTAAAAGCTGTAATATTGTATTACATTATTGCAAAGTTTTTGAAAATATATTAAAATGCAATTTATTCCTGTGACGGAAGAGCTGAATTTCCAGCATTTTCTTGAATAGAAAGTTGAAAAGAACAGCATTTATGTGAAATGGAAATCTTTGGCAACATTATAAATGTCTTTACATATCAATTTAATGCATATTTGGTGAACAAAAGTATTAATTTCTTCAAAAAGAAAAAAAAAATACTCAAAAGGTATTTGAAAGGTAGTGGTAATAATTCTATTTTAGTTTTTTTTACTCATTGATTATTCGTATTATATATTAATATTGGTATTAATAATTCATACATTGGTGTTTTTCTGTAAATTTATGACTAATTGACTGAAAGATTAAATGTTTTATATAGTGCTGTCAAACGATTAATCGCATCCAAAATAAAAGTTTTTGTTTACTCAATATATGTGGGTATACTGTGTGTATATTTATTATGTCTATATAAATACACACACATACAGTATATATTTTGAAAATAATTACATGTATATTTCTATTCATATAATTTATATTATATATAAATATATTTCATATATAAACAACATATTTTTCTTAAATATATACATGCATGTGTTTGTATTTATGTATACATAATAAATACAGTACACATGTATTATGTGAACAAAAACTTTTATTTTGGATGCGATTAATCGTTTGACAGAACTAGTTTTATACCACAGTCATTTGAATTTCATTTGATCCCTACCTCCTTAAATTCAACTGCATCTTATTCACTACTCGTTTTGGTTTTCCAGTTAATTAGCATTGAACACAGACACTAATTGACTGTGTGTGTGTGTTTCAGACTCGTCTGAAGCTGCTCAAGAACCTCCTCAGCAAACACAGAAACACTTTACCTCAGAAAGAGCTGAGTCAGTTAGCCAGGTAAAACACAGCTCCATATTTCTGTAGAATATGCCGTTGAGACTAATGACTATCAGTGCTGGGTCATTTTATTTGTGCGGTGTGTTTTCAGGATGACGGAGGGTTACTCCGGCAGTGATCTGACCTCGCTGGCTAAAGACGCTGCTCTTGGTCCTATACGAGGTACATTCATACTTCATGCAGATATTTTATTCAAGTATACAAGACATTTGGTTTAGAGGTGGACTTTTTGCTGCTCTTTCTCAACACAGAGCTGAGGCCTGAACAAGTGAGGAACATGCCAGCCGATAAGGTAGAGAATATTAAGCAGTGTTATATTAACATAATTTAGATGCCTATTATATTATTTAAAAAAAATAAATAATAATTTTTGATTTTAGTACAAGTTAAACTAAATGCAAATGAGAAATGTTGCCTAGGTTTTATATATACTATTTTATTGTATTTCACCTTTTCACTTAACATTTTATAGTTTGTTGAATTTTTTGTTTACTAACAACACTGATATTAAATCTGTTCTTAAAGGGATAGTTAACCAAAAACAAAACACAAATATGTGCTGTCGCTAGAACTTCATTTGATGTATTTTTTTCCCCCTGTAAATCATAAATATGAGCTAGCTAAATATTCATTCCTATTTTTCCGTATAACAGCAAATGTTTTTATACAAAAATTTGAAAAAACTTCCAAGATGGTAACTAGGCGCCACTCGCTGATTAAACACTTATTTATACAAAGTGTTCTATTTCAAATTCATTCATTTTAAAATTGACATACTATTTTTAAACATACCATGTAGCATGTTCTTGTCTTTCTTCTGTTCAGATGAGGGACATCTGTTTCTCTGATTTTGTGGATTCGCTCAAGAGGATAAAGCGGAGCGTCAGTCCTCAAACGCTGGATCAGTACGTCCGCTGGAACAGACAGTACGGAGACACAACAGCCGTATGACACCGACACGCAAGAAGGGTTTTTCCTAAAGACTTGGAATAACAAAAACATTTTTTGTATAATTTTGTCTTTTCTACGACTTTGCTTTTGAGTCGTTTGGAGCTCAGGCTAAGATTTGCTTTGACTGAATTACACCAGAGCTCAAGACCATGTGGATGGCAAAGCATGACAAAACATTTTCTACAAAACCAAGAAACATTTGGTTTCTAATTCTTCCCCTTGATTGGTGTGTGAATGATAAAGCACTTGGCGTCTGTGGTGTTCTAGATGCATTTGTTCCTCTCTTATCTTGTTGCTTGATTTGTTTTTGATTCATGTATCCAGATAAATCAAATCCTCAAATGGCGGTGTGATGTGCTGAAGTCAATCAAATAGCAATCAAATAGGGATTCCGTTGATAAATGAACGATTAAAGAATGTATTGTTTGATCTCCTGCTTGGAAACCGTTCAGACTGCATGTGTATTTGGAATGACCAGCACTCCTCATGTTTTTTTCCATTTGCAGGCACTAGGGGGCATCAGTTGAGACTGTATGTGAATGTCTTCTGCTAGAACTAAAGTCATGATGTTGCTCCATGTACAGATGTTTTTCTAGTCTGCTGTGTCTTTAATAATGTTGAATTTTATAAGGTTTGCAGTATTTGGGAAACGATTTGATTCAAGTGCTTAACAGATTTGTATACATGTACTAACGGTGTTGTTTTACATTGAAAAAAAAAAAAGGTTAAAAATCTGAAATTATGCATCATATTTATAGAATATAAAAATAAAATATACTTTTATAATCGAAATAGTTTGAAAGTTATATCATCATTAATGGCAAAATTGCTGTGCTTAAGTTTGATTCATTTGAAAAGTGCACATAAAAAATGAACATTTAAAATGATAATTTATAATAAAAATATTTTCATAATATAATTTAGAATTTAATAATTGATTTAAGAATGCACTGAGCCACTGTGCAACAATTTGATTCATTAGTAAAGTGCCTGTATAAACAAAACTAAAATGATCATATAAATAAAATATAATTTGGTTACACTTTATATTACCACGGCCTTGTTACAGTGTAATTCTACATTTAAGTAATACCGAGTAATAATTATCTACATGTAATTTGATTCATTTGAAAAGTGCACATAAAAAATGAACATTTAAAATGATAATTTATAATAAAAAAAATATTTTCATAATATAATTTAGAATTTAATAATTGATTTAAGAATGCACTGAGCCACTGTGCAACAATTTGATTCATTAGTAAAGTGCCTGTATAAACAAAACTAAAATGATCATATAAATAAAATATAATTTGGTTACACTTTATATTACCACGGCCTTGTTACAGTGTAATTCTACATTTAAGTAATACCGAGTAATAATTATCTACATGTACTTTTATGGTTAGGGTTAGGATCTGGTTTAGGGGTGTATGTAATAATGCATTTGCATTTAATGTTAGTGAACATTACATGTAGTAAGTATGTGTCACAAGCACACTGTAAAATAAAAGTGTTCCTTAATATTTATGATATAGACGTAATTAATCATTAATATAATTATAATTCTAGCGCTTTTCTAATCACTTGAAATAAGGAACATTTTGAAGATCAAAAACACTTTAATTTCTGTCTTAAAGTGAACAGATCATTATTTAAAGGGGCGTCTCCTGTTTCCATCCTCTGACACTTGTCTTCAGTGTTGGTATATTGAGTGAGCTACACAGCAGCAAAACCAGTCATTGTTAAAAACCCATTATACAGCCATTTGTAAAATTCACTGTCAAAACAATTTACAGTAAATTCTGATTGTTTTCATACATTTAAAAGGGTTAGTTCACCCAAAAATGAAAATTAGCCCATAAATTACTCACCCCCGAGGCATCCTAGGTGTATATGACTTTCTTCTTTCAGACAGTGTACAACTGTTGGCACAAGCTACATTAAAGTGATTATTACGTTTTGAATATGGATATTTTTCTTATAAAAACACATCGATTGGCTACAGAAGGCCTTTGTTCACCCCCCGGAGCCGTGTGAGACACTTTTTTTTGTGGGTGGGTGCATTTTATTTAACTGCTTTTGGACTGATGCATGCAACACCCGCTGAGTGCCATGAAACCGCTTGAAAGATCAAAGACCATTTTTAATATAACTCCGACTGGATTCATCTGAAAGAAGAAAGTCGTATACACCTAGGATGACCTGAGGGTGAGTCATTTATGGGCTAATTTTCATTTTTGGGTGAACTAACCCTTTAACGCTAATTGGACGGCTTTTGATTGTCACTCATATCTGACATGTTTCCACACACACACACATGTAAATGTCCAGGTAAAATGATGGATGTGGTTGTAGTTCAGTTGTGAAGGCCTCAGTGGTCCAGGATGCGCAGGTTTCCTGAAACGATCTTGTTCTCCAGCATCGCTCCGGCCGGGATGTCGATTCTGTCTCCATGATTAGCGATAATGATAACCGTTCCCTGTTGTACAGAAACAACGAGTCACAATATGCACACATGATGCGTGTAAACGCTCACAAAATCAGACGTTCATACCTTGAGTGTGACTTGTTTTCCGAAGGTGACATCTCCTGATACAGTCAGGTGATCCAGCTCCAGCATGTCTGGGATGCTCTCAAACCTTTTCAGGAAGTCTCGAACCTAGAAAGTAAAAAAAAATGTAAAAGTAACATTACGATGCTGCCATCTTTCTGAAGTCATTTTAAACCCCCTGTAATTTGGCTCCGAATCTCAGGTGAAAATTTTCATTTTGAAATCTTAAAAATAGTGGATTACTCAGTAAATACACATCCGTGACATACTATTTTGGCTTTCTTCACTATACATGTTTATCTTTCTTTAGAAAAAATGCTGGCAAAATGTAAAGTTGTTGGGACCTCAGCACCTCTGGTTGAGTTGACATGGAATGACCCACAACGAAAATACAGCGGTGAGAAAACAGCAGTTAAGATGCCCAAAATTGGCCTGTGATGTCTTTTGATTTGACCTGCCATGCCACATCACAAAAAAATAGGTGCCATCAAAGCATATTTTAATTTGTATTAAACATGAAAAACAGTGTCAGTGTTGCTTTCAATAAGAATTACAAGTTTAATTTCTTCTATAAATCAGTTTTTACTCATGGAGTAGTTTACCTACCTGACCAAACGTTTTCAAAAAGTACACTTTGGCAAGTGGTTGAAATCAATCTGAACTCATAAAATGATCAGTTTTGAAGAATGTTCATGCTCCTTTACTTTTGTACCCCACAGAATGACACGAGCGATACATTAGCATGGTAGCTCCACTCACCTTCACGTCAGCTCGTGTCTTATCGGTGACCTCCATGACAAATTCGCAGCGTTTGTCACTGGGCTGGCTCATCAGGTGGTTCAAGATGTGCAGGTCCACCGTGGCGCCCAGGTTGTCAATGTTGGACACAAAGATGTACTCTTTCCCTTCTGCGATCAGCTTGTCCAGCAGGCCGGAGTTGTAGAAGCTGGCGTAGATGTCTCCGTGCCCGGGTGGGTACCAGGCCTCTTCATTCTCAGCCGTCAGGCCCATGTTAGTGGCCACGGGTAACAAAGACTCCTTACTGATCCTGGGATACCTGCACAGGACAGGAAAACAGACGAGGTGACAATGGAAAAGCAGTCAAAGCTGTGGACTAACAGCTTGCAGAAGTGTGCAAGAAATGGGTGAATCAATCTTTAAATATTAATACCTCAGTTACTGATGTTTTATTGTAAGGATTGATGTTCCCAAAAGCGAGTTAACAGTTTTTTGGATATTTCAATATATGTAATATTTAGGGGTAATTTTTACAATATACCACAAGTTATTTTTTACGTTGCCATTAAATGTTTTGCATCTGAAATATAACATTTTATATTAAAAAAAGAAAAAAAAGCACTGAAACAAAAAGATTTATGACTTTTGTTCCATTAACACTCCACTAAAATACTTAACTTGATAACATACACGTACAATATTTTCCAGAAGTCACGCTGGCTAAAAATTGCAGATATGTCACATCAGTGTATAGGTCACATTTTATTATAACGTTCAGAAATAATGTAAAATACTGGTTAAAATAAAACAACCCTGAAACATTTACACACATTATAATCATGCATTTTAGTTCCTGTCACTCCACAACAAATCCTTTAAATTTAATTTAGATATGAACAAGAATGAAAAAATGTAAGTATAAAACAAACATATTAACCATTTTAAACAACATTTATTATAAATGTCAAGCCTAAATGAACTTATTTAAAGCACAACTGAAAGGACTGGCATGTAGGAAATGTGAAATATAAATAAAATTGCACTCATGTACCTCTCTCATTCTACACATGTTTTGCACGCTTGACATTAATGGCTTTATATATATAAGTCATAGCATGTTTCAGATGATAAAAAACCTGACGTTTATTCCATAAAGTACGGTACGTTCATATTGCTCTCTGTCCTAGATAAGGATGCTGAGAAGCGTGTGTGTACCTGCTCTGGTTGAAGGTGTGTATCTTGACGCGGTGATGCGTGTACTTCTGCAGGATCTTCTTGGTGTCTTCATCTGTGTTGAAGGAATTCATCAGCACCAGTGGCACGTCTGCATTATACGACTTATTCAAATGCTGAAAGAGAGAGAGATTCACACAAGGTCTTTCATTTGATACAGAAATATTCTGGTGAAATTCATGTTTTTTCTTAAATAAATGACTGTAAACTGATATATCTTCAGTAACTTACTGTATGACCATTACACTAAAGCATATGATTGCATAAAAGATGCTTAATTAAACAAGTCTGGATGTTAAAATACATTCTTCTCAAAACTCATAAACAAAGAATGCAAAATGCTTGTTTGTGTTTGTGTGCAGGTTGTGCAGTAAATAGTCACGTCACTGCAGAGCCCTGCATTTGATCCCCATTTTAATGTAAAGGGTGTATCATAGATATTACATAAAATAGTATTTCTCAAGATATTCTTCTAAATGCCTTCAATTTCGTCATGTGGAAAAAACCTGATATTACACAACTTTGGGGTAAACAGTCATTGACACAGATGGAAACCTTTACCAAGGTCTGAAACTGCAAACACGGTCTTACCTCATATTACACGGATCATATATAAGCCAAAAAGAAATGTCTAAACCCATGTACTTGATGCATCATCCACTGTTCTGAAGATTATCAACTATAATGTTCAATTATAATTACTTATGCTCAACTCCACATACATCAAAGGTTTGGGGTCAATAAGATTTTTAGAGGAATTACTTTCATTCAGCATTAAATGCATCAAAAGTGACAGTAAAGTCATTTATAATGTTACAAAAGATTTCTATTCAAAGCCATTGTTTTGAGCAGCAGATGAGCCTATTAGAATGATTCCTGAAGGACCACGTGACACTGAAGATGAATTTGAATTCAAATAGAAAACAGTTATTTGAAACTATAATAACTTGGTGAGTGTAAGAGACTTACACTCTAAAAAAAATCTATAAAACATGACAATCTCATCAGAGGTTTTCGCTGGAAATGTGTGTGATGTAATACCTCGATCTGCTGTACGGTCAGGTCCAGGAAAGTGTTTTCGTTGCGGACGCTGATGAGACTTTTGGGTCCTTTGCAGCCCATGCTGGTCCCCAAACCTCCATTGAGCTTCACCACAGCCAGTTTATTAAGGCTGGACGCCACATCAGCAGGAAGACCCTTCAACTCGATCTTCTCATAGGGCTGAATCTGTTGAGTGCAATACACACGCATGATTTATATAGCAGTACACCATATAGGAAACACACAGACGCATTATTAATCACTCCCTCAGGATACAGAAACCTTGTGTGGAGTCAAGAAAATTAATTATCTGAAGTGTGCTTTTTTTACACACTTTTCACTTGATTAGAAATGTACTGCAGGCCTACAGTCTGGTTTTATTAAAGGAAACCCTTTATGAAGATGACAGGACACCCAGTTTAATCAGAGCAAAGGTGAGAAAGACTGCGGTTTCATTTTTTTAGTGCAGGGTTTATTTACTCCAGTCAACCCGAGCAGAGCTGATGGACCTTCAAACTCGAAATTTCTCCTATCTAGCAAAGGCATTAACCTTGACATGAAGAGCAGAAAACTGTGAGAGCTACTGAAACAGAGCCTTGCAAACAGCATTCTTCTGCATGAATTATGAGCTGATTTGATCTGATCTCTTGGATTTGGGTGTACTGCTTTTGATAACAGCTTCCTGCCTGCAACTGATGCAGACCTTGCACACACACACTGAACTCATGAACTACAATTGTGTAAAGCAGTCGTCCTAGTTTCATCACAGCAGCAACTGTTGAATTATCTCACTGCTGTGAAGGCAAAAAGGTCAATGACTCAGAAACCTACAACTAAACTACATGTTGCATTTTACATTTTATTTATTGAGAAAATGACACACACAAATATCAGCTGACCGATCAAGCATCCATCCAATGAGCGCTTCCACGGATGGGGACTGAAATAGAACCTTTGAGAATTATGCTATAGGATTCAGAGCTGATCTAGATGCAGCAGTGATGTTTATTTCGTAATGGGTTTGATGACTCTCGATCTACTGGAGTTGATTTCAGATCATTCTTTCTGCTTTACTATGTGCTGTAACATGAGTTTCTCAACGGCTGGTTGAAAAGAAATGTCAGCCAAGGTTGTGGGATGCTGGAAGTGCTGTGCTATTCATAGTCTAACCTTCAGTGTGGGGGTATTTGCAGAGGGGCCGTGGGTTATTTGGGGAGGGGATCAACAGGGAAATGTCATGGACTTGATAAACCGCTTATACACATGCACGTTCTCCGCTCACCCTTTCTCGCTATTCAGTGGCTTTGTGTATGTGGTGATAGGAAAGTTACTCCAGTCCTTCAAACAATTTATACTGATAAAATATGTCGTATTTTATAAGGTAATAATGGTTTGAAAAGGACATCTGTCTAGGACTGTGCAGTTGAATTGCTTTATATGTAATGTACACCTTAAGTGTACTAATCTAAAACTATTATAAAATAAAATATTATATATATATATATATATATATATATATAAAATATATATATATATATATATATATATAAAATATATGTATATATAATACGTGTATGTGTAGGTTTAGAGTTGGGTTATATATGTATCAGCAGGGGGGTGAAATCTTTTTTAATTTGAAGATCAGGGTAAATTTAACTAATTTTGTCTTCTGGGAAACATGTAACTATCTTCTGTAGCCTCTGAAGGGCAGTACTAAATGAACAAACATGATATTTAGGCAAAATAAGAAAAATGTACACATCTCCATTCTGTTCAAAAGTTTTAAGGCTTAAAAGGCTTAATGCATTGTTTTTTCTTCTGGAGTATCAGTGAGCGTTTAAACCTTCTGCATAGTTGCATATGAGTCCCTCAGTTGTCCTCGGTGTGAAAAGATGGATCTCAAAATCATAGTCATTGTTGGAAAGGGTTCAAATACACAAAAATGCTGGAAAACCAACTAATTTGTGGGACCTGAAGGATTTTTCTGAAGAAAAGCAGGCAGTTTAACTGTTCAGGACAAACAAGGGACTCATGAACAACTATCACTAAAGAAAAAACACAGCTGTGGATCATTATTTTATGTGAAATATCTTATTCAGGTCAGTACTAAATAAACAATAACATGCATTTTGAATGATCCCTCTTATTTTGGTAAAATAATTAACATTTTGCAGTTATGTAAACTTTTGACCTCAACTGTATATCCAATTGATTTACAGATTAATTATTAAATATGTGACCCTGGACCACAAAACCAGTCAAAAGGGTAAATTTTTTCGAAATTGAGATTTATGCATCACTTGAAAGCTGAATAAATACGATTTCCATTGATGTATGGTTTGTTATGATATGACACTATTTGGCTGAGATACAACTATTTGAAAATCTGGAATCTGAGGGTGCAAAAAAATCTAAATTGCCTTTAAAGTTGTCCAAATGAAGTTCTTAGCAATGCATATTACTAATCAAAAATTAAGTTTTGATTTATTTCCGGTAAGAAATTTACAAAATATCTTCATGGAACATGATCTTTACTTAATATCCTAATGATTTTTTGGCATAAAAGAAAAATCGATAATTTTGACCCATACAATGTTTTTTTGGCTATTGCTACAAATATACCTGTGTGACTTAAGACTGGTTTTGTGCTCCAGGGTCACATATATATATTAAAGGGGGTACAATTGGGATTGATAATCTTGTTTTGAAATTGTTTTTCTTTTCAAATATAGTCCTAAAAATAAAAATATATTAAAAGTTCAAACTGTCTGTCTTAATGACTCTTTTCACGAATTTAAAATATTGCTAAAACATTACGCTGTAATAATATATGCAATATTGCTGAAAAATATCTATTTTTATAGCTATATTTTAATTTCAAATTCTTTATAAATCATCCTTAGAAGCCACACAAGGCATCAAGCACTCGTTTGGTCTCACCGAGCCTTCGGGTGGTCTCTGGATCTTGGCCCAGTCAACAGACGGCCCCTTCTCCTGAAGGAAACGGTGAAAGAGCTTCTTGAAGCCCTCAAAGTCCTTCCTGGAGATCTGCAAGAGGCACAAATAACCATATTACAGATCAAATTTTCACAATTTCCATCCATTTTTACCTTCAGCTCTACAGTACATCCTGAAGTTCAATATAATGTTTATTATTTCAGGGCCGATAGTGAAGAAGAGTCTTTCTATTTCAAATCACCAAATCAAAATGAGTCACACGTGAAAGCTAAACATTTGTGAGGGTTTTGGGAAGCTTGTAACTAACTTGTATTAAACCTGGAATACTTTATTTTTAGTTAAAGGTTTATTAAATTAAGTAAATGCTTTAGAGCTGAATCTGAATCAACACATGTCAGTGTGATTAATCGAACCCCTAATTACCATGTATAACGCTGTGCCGCATACAAGAATAATTAATACTCTCAAGAGTCTCCTTTAACCTTTAGACTAAACCTTCTGGCGATGCATCATGGGACGATAGGCTGTAATTAACACACACCTCCTTCGTTAGCTCACCGTTTCATTGGCCGCTGCATAAAAACTCATTAATGAGACTAACTGCATAATGTGTGTGCCGTAACTGCTCACATTAAGAGTAGTTTCATTGTGAATAAACATCTCAAACTTGGATGAATGATACTGTTTTCCATTCTGTGCATAAGACTCAGCTTATTTTCAAATTAGTTTTTCCATTATATAAGCAAACATTATTGGGTCAATGACAAATAACAATGTCTTCTGATAATTTTTTTAAAATCCAGTTTAAAATGCATGTACCAAAATATGCATTCATACTAATTCTAAAATGGATTTAATGTGTTTGATCTAATGGCTTTAAAATTGTCAAGTGGTACATACGTGAGCAGGGGGTTAGATACATGGAGTCAAGGACAGAAGCACCACTGGAACGTGTTTGTCACCTCAGCCGAGCACATAGTTTGCGGGGCAAGGGTCTTACCTCCGCCTCTGATGGCTTGGCAGTGGTCAGGAGCTTCTCCAGCTCTGTGAGCATGGAGTTCTCATGCTGCAATCTCAGCTTCTCCTGAAACTCCGCCATCCCTGCATTAGGACTGTTTCTATACAGATCTACACACATGCAAACACAGGGAAAGAAAACATTACTGGCAACAACCTTAAACGTTGTGACGACATTGCAAATGGTCATTAATTCTTGAGACTATTCTGTTCCACCATGCTTTTTGGTAACTGGCACATAATTTAAATACTTCAGTTAGAATAGTTAGAATGTCTTTTAAACAAATCGCTTATGTTCACCAAGGCTGTATTTATTTTGACAAAAAATACAATAAAAACAGTAAAATTGTGAACTATTATTACTATTACTGTACTATAATAATTGAGCACCAATATTACTTGATAATTAAGCAGCAAATCAGCATATTAGAATGATTTCTAAAGGATCACGTGACATAATTCAGCTTTGCACCACACGAATAAATTACATTTTAAAATATATTTAAATAGAAAATAGTTAATAATTAGATTTATTACAATTTTACATTTAAAATAATATCACATTATGACTGGTTACTGTATTTTCGTTTAAACGAATGCTGCCTTGGTGAGCATAAGACTTCTTTCAAAAACAAAACAAACAAATACATATTCCAAATGTTGACTGGTGTACTACAGTACTTTTTTTGCAAGGCTATGAAGGAACCACTTACCAGCAACAAAAGACATGATTAAAAAACTTCTGACAGCTCTCAAGACTTAAAAACCAGTATATATCAATCCTGAACTGAACTCAGCAGTCCAGAAAGGTCCGAATCACAAAGCTAATACTGTTGAAAAGTTTCTTCTTTTGCACTAGTACAACTACAACTGCATCAATGTAGAGGAAGATGCTTTGAGTACCTCAGAATGATCTACTAATAAAGAAAAGCTACTAAAACTTTAGTGTTCAAAACAGTACAACCGGCTCCCAGCATCCAAACCCTGTGTACTACAGCCTCGGCTCTCTGAAGTCAGATGAGATTTCAGACAGATTCACAGACTGTCGTGTCATGTACAGGACACCCGATCAGGGCTTTGTAACGCACCGCTGAAGGAGATGCGCAGAGAGAGAGACAGAAAAGTCCAGCACTGCCCACCCGTCACGTCACGGAAAAAGTAAATAAGTCCAGAAACGGTGAACAACGTTTGTAGACACTGTATGTATGTGGCAAGTGAATTAGGCTATTAGTCACTTCCCATCGCTTTTGTCACGTATACAGCACCAACTGGACGCTGCTGAGCAAGATGCGTTCTTTCATATGAGGTTCCATTTGTGTCAAAAATGAGTCGACTGCTTTGTACTATACATTTGTCTTTGTCTACAGTCATTGCCTACTTGTTCAGGTAATTCAGTATATGTACGTGTGTATGTTGTCTGTTGACGTCGTCTTAATCTGTCATCCTGCTTGCTTTTTCTCTGTCATTTAATTACTGTCGTCCTTATTGTCGTTTTGTTCTGTTGTCCTAACTGTCATCTTGTTCTGTCGTCTTATTCTGTCGTGCTTAATGTCGTCTTGTTTTGTCATCATAACCTTCATCAGCACTGTAAAGTTAGTTTCACATTTCATATTCGACTAGGCTGCTTTAGCAACCGTCTGCAAATTCACCTCACAGTACAAAACGAAGTACAATAATTACAAATGAATGTTCACAGGACTATAGTAAATGCCTAGTGGGCAAACTTTGACACAAATGGAACATTTTGTATTTTGACACAAATGGAACCTCATACTTCCATTCCGTCCTGAGCGTTGAACGCTTAGAACGCGCTTGGAGTTCGTTTCTGGTATGGTGTCAGGGAACGTTCAGCTACAGTAGAACGCGTTATTGGGTCCATATGCTGCATTCGTTTGGATTTTGATTTAAAGACTCTAATCTTAAAAATTTTGGACACTCAAAAGATTCGTTTACTGAACCTTTCTAAATCGTTACTTTGTGAATCCTGTTCATTAGAATTTTACAATGAGCTTACATAGGCCACTTTGGTTTTACAGTAGAGGCTAGAACGCTCGTTTACTGACCCTTTGTGTGTGGGTTAAGTGAATTGTTAGTGAAAAGTGAAAACGATTTGTTAAAAACGTTTTACCAAAACAAAGTCTCTTAAAATTTGTGTCATTTTAATTGTGTCTCCGGTCATCTGTCAGCTTTCCATTCTGTTCAAAAGTTTTCATCCCTTAATGCATTGTTTTTCCTTCTGCATAGTTGCATATGAGTCCCTCAGTTGTCCTCGGTGTGAAAAGATGGATCTCAAAATCATACAGTCATTGGCTAGAACGCTCGTTTACTGACCCTTTGTGTGTGGGTTAAGTGAATTGTTAGTGAAAAGTGAAAACGATTTGTTAAAAACGTTTTACCGAAACAAAGTCTCTTAAAATTTGTGTCATTTTAATTGTGTCTCCGGTCATCTGTCAGCTTTCCATTCTGTTCAAAAGTTTTCATCCCCCGGCTTAATGCATTGTTTTTCCTTCTGCATAGTTGCATATGAGTCCCTCAGTTGTCCTCGGTGTGAAAAGATGGATCTCAAAATCATACAGTCATTGTTGGAAAGGGTTCAAATTTTTTATATATATATTTTTTTTACTTGTGTTTTACCTTTTTCTTGTATGTTTTTATCCAACGGAGAGTGCTTTATTTAGTGTATGACAATTATGCAGGATTATATGGAAGTTCCTCTTCCACCAAATGAAAAACAAATCATGCTTTAATAAATCGTATTTAGCTAAAGTCATGAGGAAACAAATCAATATTCTGACATACCAAGTTAATTTGATGAAAAGTCGAAATGCACAGTCGAAAGTGACAAAAATACTTACAATTTCGTATTTTATGGCATAATTCTAACCTCTTGTCAATAATCATGACTTGTCATAATTTAGATTTTACATCTCATAGGTTTATATCAGTCATAATTTAGACTGTTCACATCTTAAATGTGACTTACCATGTCATAAGTTCGACTTTAGTCATAATTATGATTTATCAAAGCATTGTTTTTTCTTAAGTGGCAGAAATGGGCTTCCATATGTTTACTATCCCTTTGACCAATGAATTACCATGATTTCTGTCTTTATTATATAAGGATCACTAAAATAATTAATCAATATAATTTATATTCACTGTTATAATTTTCTAGGACACTTCTAGGCTTTTAAATACTTTATAAAATTAATTCCCTGAGATATATATATATATATATATATATAAAAGGTTTTCATTCAAATAAAAAGGCCTGGCTTACTGTCTACGATGAAGAATCTTAATACCCTTAATCAATTAATCAAACAGCTATTAAATGTGTGTATTCAGAACTAGAGAGGAGATGGGCATGACAACAATCCAAATACACAACAAACATTCATTTTCCACATGGCCTTTTATTGTTGTATGACAGATGATCGTTATTTTGGTCTGGACATCTATGTGCGTAACGGTTTTAATTGGAAATGTTCTTCTTCAGGTGATGCCCCAGACACTTCAAGCAGAGGAAGTTACATTGCAAACGTTTCTTGTGAATAACACACACACACACACACACACGTACGTTAAGAGACATGAATATCCACGCACGCACACGGTCAGCTGTGAAACCTACAGGACTTTACAGTCGGGGATTTGGGGACTTTGAAGAGTCTAACGGCTGCCGCGCTGTTGTGGAGACATCAAGTCACGCTCCAAGGAAGGTGAGTGCCGTGTCTCTCTCCTCCACCAGCTCAGCGGCGGTGCCATCCATCTTACCGCGGGAGAAATCATTGATGGAGAGTCCGTCAACCACCTTCCAGGTCTTGTTCTGTCGGGGTGGAAAATATTAGTACTTACATAGAGACCTTATATTTCTAAACTACTTCCAAATGCTTTGATTTCTTTTTTGAAATTGAATTTCATTGTTTTTTTAGGTGTGACAAAGACAAACCTTGATCATAACAGGGAAGGAGTACATGAGGTCATCAGGAACTCCATAGGAATTACCAGTGGAGTAGATGCCCATAGACACCCACTCACCCTGTTAGAGACAGAAAAATAATTAGTTAGCATTAACCCTGTAAAGTACGGAAGAGGATTAGGGCCAAGCAATAAAAATTTTTTTAATAAAACCATCTCGAGATTAAAGTCGTAAAATTTAGAGAAAAAAAGTCAAGATAAAATGTTGAGATTATTCTCTAAATTTAATGAGTTTAAAGTCGTTATGTTTCGAGAAAAAACTCGTTAAATTTCAAGAAAAAAAATGTTGAACTAAAATGTTGAGAATAAACTCATTAAATAATGAGAAAAAAAGTGGTTAAATTTCGAGAAAAAGTAACAAAAAAAATTGAGAATAAACTCAACATTTTATCTTGACTTTTTTCTCTAAACTTAACGACTTTAATCTCGAGATGGTTTTATTTTTTTATTGCTTGGCCCTAATCCTCTTCCTTAGTAAAGCTTGACATATGAAATCAATCAAATTCGTTAATTTTTACAATACTAAAAGGGCATTTTTACTAAAAAAAAAAAAATTATAAACTACCAATTAGATGTAGATTGATATAAAAGGTTTTCATTCAAATAAAAAGGCCTGGCTTACTGTCTACGATGAAGAATCTTAATACCCTTAATCAAATAAATTTACAGCTATTAAATGTGTGTATTCAGAACTAGAGAGGAGATGGGCATGACAACAATCCAAATACACAACAAACATTCATTTTCCACATGGCCTTTTATTGTTGTATGACAGATGATCGTTATTTTGGTCTGGACATCTATGTGCGTAACGGTTTTAATTGGAAATGTTCTTCTTCAGGTGATGCCCCAGACACTTCAAGCAGAGGAAGTTACATTGCAAACGTTTCTTGTGAATAACACACACACACACACACACACGTACGTTAAGAGACATGAATATCCACGCACGCACACGGTCAGCTGTGAAACCTACAGGACTTTACAGTCGGGGATTTGGGGACTTTGAAGAGTCTAACGGCTGCCGCGCTGTTGTGGAGACATCAAGTCACGCTCCAAGGAAGGTGAGTGCCGTGTCTCTCTCCTCCACCAGCTCAGCGGCGGTGCCATCCATCTTACCGCGGGAGAAATCATTGATGGAGAGTCCGTCAACCACCTTCCAGGTCTTGTTCTGTCGGGGTGGAAAATATTAGTACTTACATAGAGACCTTATATTTCTAAACTACTTCCAAATGCTTTGATTTCTTTTTTGAAATTGAATTTCATTGTTTTTTTAGGTGTGACAAAGACAAACCTTGATCATAACAGGGAAGGAGTACATGAGGTCATCAGGAACTCCATAGGAATTACCAGTGGAGTAGATGCCCATAGACACCCACTCACCCTGTTAGAGACAGAAAAATAATTAGTTAGCATTAACCCTGTAAAGTACGGAAGAGGATTAGGGCCAAGCAATAAAAAAAAATTTAATAAAACCATCTCGAGATTAAAGTCGTAAAATTTAGAGAAAAAAAGTCAAGATAAAATGTTGAGATTATTCTCTAAATTTAATGAGTTTAAAGTCGTTATGTTTCGAGAAAAAACTCGTTAAATTTCAAGAAAAAAAATGTTGAACTAAAATGTTGAGAATAAACTCATTAAATAATGAGAAAAAAAGTGGTTAAATTTCGAGAAAAAGTAACAAAAAAAATTGAGAATAAACTCAACATTTTATCTTGACTTTTTTCTCTAAACTTAACGACTTTAATCTCGAGATGGTTTTATTTTTTTATTGCTTGGCCCTAATCCTCTTCCTTAGTAAAGCTTGACATATGAAATCAATCAAATTCGTTAATTTTTACAATACTAAAAGGGCATTTTTACTAAAAAAAAAAAAAATTATAAACTACCAATTAGATGTAGATTGTACAGCAGATTTTTGATCATGCTGATTTTGAGGCTTTAGAAATGTGTGAAATTTGATTAAGTAGCCTTGACAAGGAAATGATTAGGAAAACTGGAAATGTTTGAATCTTCCACTCTACTTGTAACCAGAATCTAATAGCCTAGACACTCAATTGATCTCCAAAGGGTTCACATGGTGTAAACTCACATCTGGAGTGCCGAACCAGATGTCCTTCATGTGGTCACAGATGG